TAGGCAAGTGAGTGGTCCAGCTAACACAACCTCACGGCCCGTAAAGCCCACAGTGAAGAGAACCCATCTGAAATAGAGGGACAATGAAGATTTGTGGTTCGTTTCCACCTCTGTTCCTTTACTCGACATACACCTACAAAATATATCGTTGAAGTAGTATGGTGTCCTTTAGGATTCAATGAGAAGTTCATAATTTCCTCAAAATGTTGCAAGCGCCAAAAATCAAAATATTATGCCATTAAAACAAGTTATATAATATATTAATAATAATATATTATATATATATAATATATTATGAGATGATTATCTAGATCTGGTAGTATAATTATATATACAATATACGTATCAACGGTTACTTATATATAGAACAGTGGGTCGGCTGGCGGTGTATAACTAAGAGAATATGGATGGATGCCACAATGCGGCGCGATGGCGGGGAAGGGGCGGGCGTACGCGAGGTGGGTCTGCGCGACGGAGAAGCCGGTGATTCTGGTCGCGTTGAGGTGTCGCTGAAGGGCAGGCCGAGCTCGCGGGCCCCCGCGCGCAGGGAGGTGCGGCGGAGCGCGGCCGGTGCCGGGAAGCGCTGCACGGTGAGCGGGCCGCCCACGCCGTGGTAGCGGCGTGCCACGCGCCGCGTCTCCGTGTTGTCCTCCGACTTCAAGTCATATACGGTAGCATGCGTCGGCCGTGAAGCGCCAGGGCCGGCCATGCGGGGACAACCTGCCAGTTCGTCGTAGTCGCGGACGGTGGAGCTCCAGGCGGTGTACATCATGCCGTGGGTCACACCGATCGCACGCCGCCCAGGGGCGACCTGCGGCAAGCGCAAGCTGCACGATAAGCGGCTGTCATTGATGTTGGGTTTCGGGTGCGTCACTGCTATGGTCCATTAGATTTAGTAAGTGATGTACATGCTGTGTTTCGGAGAGGCGGGGTGTTAACTCCGCTGGATGGTGAATCATCAGGTCTGCCTACATCTTGGAAGATCCCAGGGTTTTTGAATCGAATTGAAATGAATTGAATCGAGTGAGTCGAAGTGGAGTCGAGTGGAGTCGAGTGAGTCGAGTGGAGTCGAGTGGAGTCGAGTGGAGTCGAGTGGAGTAAGAGTGGAGTCGAGTGGAGTCGAGTGGAGTGGAGTCGAGTCGAGTCTTTTACATGCAAGTAAATCTACTGACATGGGACAGCCGGCTTTTACTTCCCCTCCGAAGGAAAGGTGTACAAAGGAAATTCTTTTCGCCTTGAAAAATCAACAGGCTGTGCTGTATTCGGTTTTTGCGACCCGCTATGTCATCTGCGGGTAGTGAAGTCGACAGTTCCGGATTTGGCGAAGCTGGTTTACCATCGGCAAGACCGTTTCACCTCCTCCTATGCGGTTGCTCTCTCATTGACATCCCCCCAGACGGATCAAGCTCGAAGCTGACGAACACGGTGTTCCGACCTGTCTGGTAGGGTAGTGCACGTAAATATAAGCGTGGAGCACTTTAGAGAGAGAGGGATCGAGAGAAGGAAGAGGGGGAAAGAGATTTCAAGGCGGTCGCAGCGACCTCGACAGCTCAAGAGGTAACTGCTTTCGTTTTGCCTAGTATTGATAAAGAAACACGGAAAAAGTAGCGGTCCGGTCGATCGCTAAAATAATCGTCGTCCAGAGCAGGCGAACTGGAATTTCGGATTTAAAGTGTGTAGCTAGTGTCAAACGCGCGCACACGGACTCAAATCTGGGTCCTCCTGGTGGAGAACTCGATACAGTGGCAAACAGTCCACCAGCATCATAGCTCTAATAAGCATTAGAAACATGTATGCACATTAGTACGAATGTGCAGAATTTTTTGTTAGGACGAGTGTACATTCATGTCGAGTTCACTCGGCGGGGTTGGGTGAAATCTGGCACATTTTTCAGGTGCATCGTTTTAGCATAGCATCTTTGGTACCGTTAGTCGGTTAGTGAATTATTTGGAACGTATGTTAATAATCAGCACAGTGTATGCTGAAAAGTAGGATGTATCTGGTTGTCATCAGTTTAATGTAATAGACTGTCATTTTATGTCAAACATGTTATGAGGATATTGGCTCTTTAAACATTTGAGCACTTTTATGGATAGATATACGGGAACAAGATCAGAGAAACATGATTTTTTTTCTTTCTTTCTTATACAGTGCAAAACGTAAGTTCATATTTCAGAAAAGTTCTTGTTCTACAGGGTGCTTGCCATGAACCTGCAATTGTTTAGCGCAAATAACTTTTGTAACTAGGGGACTGTATAGTAATTAAAAGTGTTCCCTTTATATATCAATGAAAACTGTACATTTTTTATTCATATGAACATTGGCTATTTGTTTCAAACGTTCATAATTAAGGTTTGGTAACTCACCTAGGAAGAAAAAAGGTTCCAACTGTTAGTTTTGTTGTATCGATACATATGTACAGAAAAATATTTAGCTTTGTTCTCGAACTGTAGTAAATTCCAATATTTTAATCATCTATACTGCGCAAACATTGACCTACTTCAAAAGGGAATGAACTGCAGTGGTTATATAGGAATAATATTGTAGAACGGTTACATGTTTCATCTAGCAAATATATACAAAAATCAAGTAGAAGTAAAAGTTGGATAGCAAATATACGCAGGTTAAAAAAAAGTAGCACGCATATTCTGTTTACAGTGGCAAAGTCAAAACCTCAAAGTATTTGTTAAACACTTGAACTAGAACATTGGCTTCGAAGCTTCGCCTTGGCTTAATTGCTTGTGGACATCAGCCATTCATTCTATTGAGTTGTAATCTGCAATTTTCCACTGACCTCATTGTGCAGTATTTGTTGAATTGTTATAGAAATTTTCGATTACAGGTTTTTTCGTCCACACTAATTGTCTGTATCTTGTTCCTCTTCCATAACCCCATGCATAACAATTATCGGCAATATGTTGCATGAAATTTATACATTTTTTTTGCTTTTTCATATTTAACCTAATTTTGTTTTATCGATTTCATGAAATAAGAGACCGTAGTATTGAATAGCGCAAATTTAATAAGGTTGATCTCAGATAAATATAGTTATTTAAAAACAGACTTTGTATTTTAAACCTTTGTCGAATTTATTTTCTAATTCTTAACTGTAAATGATGCGGTCAAGATACCGTCGTATATGTTCTTCCCAGAGTCATTTCTTCTTCTTGAACATTTTAACAATTCCAAGTAGTTATTTTTTCATCTAATTCAAATTATCTTCCAATTCACTATTTCTGATCATGGCCGTACTCGAATAATACTCTTCATTCTCATAACTTTGGGCTACATTTATTATTATTATTATTATTATTATTTTTATTATTATTATTATTATTATATTATTATTATTATTTGAAATGGTGATTGGACGCGACATAGGGCAAGTAACATGATAAGCCACACCATCCATCTTGCTATTTGCAAAAATTTTATTACTAGGTTTTGGCTCCCTTTGTGTATTTTCTACGGTTTCAAGCCTTTCATGTAATAAATATGTTATTTTAAACAAACAACGAGATACATATATTCAAAAGATAAGTACACATTTACCCCCAAAAAAATTAACATTTACAAATAACCTGAAAGACTTGTGAGAACTGTGCACCTATCTTGTCAAGTGGTCCATAATTCCTTCATTTTCACATATTCAAACAATATAATCTTGACTTTATTCAGTATATTAAATTTTAATGGCATTTTTCCTTACACCAGCATTATCTACCTATACACTATTCATTCACTATCCCTGTCACCGGTGCAATTATTGGTTCTTATGACCACAACCTCAACTCTTTCAACAGCACCCTGTCACCTCAAGTACGATTCCCCTCACATTCTGATCCCTCAGCCTCAACAGTCTTCATGTCCGTTCTTCACCCCTTCTCGCTCATCCCCCGGTCGCGTTGAGCTGAGGCCGATTAATTGATTTCGTCCCGCTTTGCCGCCTGGCGATGGCTCCCTCGAGCCGCATAACTGCCTCTCGCCCGGCCTTCCTTCCCACCCCGCCTCTCTCCCTCTCCTCTAATCTCTTCGCTCCCCCTCCCACAACCCACACCCAACGCGGCGCTTGAGTGAGAGCTGAGAGAGCACAATGTTTTCTCGCACGTTGCAATTCGGGAATTCTTTCATTTCAACGAGCCAGATTCGCTTAATTGTTTTCTGTACAAAAAGTATTGAGAAAAGTACTGCCGGTAATTTTTTTCCTCCGTTAAACGCAATGTCTCATACAAGATTTTGGATTAGTCCCACAACTTCATGTTTTGAAGTTTAAAACGCTATCAAAATTTCGAAAAAGTTAGCGTTCCAACTTTTATGCTTGTGAATTTCAGAGAGAGATTGGAAGAGAGCTGAACGTAAAAGTTCAGATGCAATGTTCTTGTGGGCAGTATAGAAAATAATTTGAATAAACGACGTATCTATGCAACTGTGGTCTTTTAAAGACGGCAACATGAAGTAAATGGTCATAGTTTGCTCCTAACACTCGAACATTTCATTCGTACGTCGCAGTTGGAACTGCTTCTTCGCAAAAAATGTCTTTCAGTTATTCTTTGTATATTATGAGGTTACACGTAATAACATTTTAGTTTTCTAAAAATTACAATTGCATTATGCAATTTAAATAAAACCAAAATCTTTTCTCTTACTCCTATTGACAAATGTAATTCTTTGATTTTTTCATCCTACAGAGAATATATGTTTAACCTTTAGACCGTGAAAAGTATGAAACATTCACGCTTTTCGTAATCTCTTTTTGTCGTTCGCCTGCTTGCCAGCTGCCAGCAGTTCCGCATTAAGAATTTAGTAGACAAACGCATCTGCAACTGGTCACGAAAAAACGTTGCAAATTAGGCGTAGCTCTTTGCGTGACAGACACGCTTGTATTCGAGAGGCAGAAATGGGAGCGAGAATTTGCGCTAAGGTTGTAGTTGTGCCGTCATTACAATGACGGTAGCATGATATTTACTGTGACAAACTTGCATTCTTTCTAGTCTCTGGCTTTTTGCGACTGAAGTGACTTTAGCAAGATCATATTTTGTTAAATTACAAATGTCTGTAGAATAATGAAAGGCTTTGTTTTTCTTTGGAGTAAGCGTAGGTTCTTTATGTAACTTTTTCTTTCTCATGATACACCTCTTTAGAACATTCCATTTAAATAATATCTTTAATCCATTTGAGGCATTCATTCTTAATCCAAAACACATTTCAAATGCTTCCATAACTTCTTTCATCTTGGCTTCTTCATTTAAAAATAATATGAAACTGAGAATAAATTAATTTGTTTCATTGGTGAGCTACCTCTGAACATCGGAGTCATATAACAAATGCTCATTTGAATACTTTGAAAAAAATAATTTTAACATCTATGATATAAAAAACGTGTAGTCTAACAATTTTATTCTTAATGTCGAAAGATTTCTTTCGGCTATTAGATATTAAAAGGCTGGGGTCCATAGAAGAAGTGAAGATAGGAAAAATTACCTCAAAACCGTTCTAGCAGAAAATCAGTCAACAATGGAACCAATGTATATTAATGAAATCGGTAATAGAGTAACGAGACCCTGGATCAGACAAGAAGAAAAAATAAGTTTCCGGTTCTATTATCGCCTTTTATGAAACAACATTTAACTTTAGAGTTCCGTATCCCCCCCCCCGATGCCCGGGGTGGAGAAGAAAAGTTGGGGGGCAAAAATTTTAGGGCCCCATTCAATGCAAATGTAAAGATAAGCATAACGCATGGACCAAACATTAACATTAAGGTGTGGACTTGTTGGTGAGCTGAAGAATTCGACGAATGTCTAACATAAACGAAGCAAAATATAACTTTTCTCTTGGCTTGTGAAGATTTTCTGTTGTTTGGATGGGGAGAACGATTTCGAGATGTCGAGCTTTGCCCCATGCCCATATGGCGTTTAGTTTGTCTATCGACTTCTTCTCCTCTTCGAATTCTCTGTTTTGAGTCAACGTTACTGGATTGGTTCATTTCTATGTCTTACTTATGGATAAGCACAGAAGCTTTCAAGTTTGCAAGTTTTTAAGTTAACGTCTTACGTGTTACTTGGGTTATGCGAAATGCATTGTGAATGAAGTCCGCTATGTAACACTAATCCTAAACTTTTATGTTACACCCGAAAAAAAGGACCTTTGGAGTACACCGAGATCCATGATACTGTAACACGTTTCTTATTCACAGTACATGGATCTGTAATACTCAACGATTCTTTACACCGAAAAAAAGAACCGTTGGAGTATAAACCAGATCCCAGATAGCTGTAGCAAGGTTCCTGTCACAGTAAATCATGGATCTGGTATTCTCCACAACTGTCTTTAAACAACCGAAAACAAGAACCGTTGGAGTTATACCAATCCATGGGTATTGTAACCAAGTTCCGTATCACAGAATCATGGAACAGGTATACTACACGGGCTCTTTAACACCGAAAAAAAAAACTCCGGTTTGGAGTATAGCAGATTTCCATGGGACTTGTAACAAGGTTCTTTTATCACAGAATCATGGTTTCTGGTATACTCCAACGGTTCTTAACACCGAACAAAAAGAACCGTTGAGTATACCAGAATCCATGATACTGTAACAAGTGTTCCTTACGCAGTAATGCATGGATCTGTTGTATTCGCAACGGTTCTTTTTTTTTCGTTTACCATCATGCTTATGTCATTTGTTTGCACGGTCAACGGCCTTAAGCGTGCCGTTACGGTGGCCGGCGACTGACCTTTCCCGCGCACCGCACTGGGCAAGCGCTTTGCCGGGGAAGCTCTGGCAGGCGCGGGCCTCGGGCTTGCCGTCTCGTACTGCCAGTCGAGGTCGGTGGCCGTGGTAGTTGAATGACCATGGACGGCACCTGGGCGCCGCGGCGGCTCGTCGCCGCCCGCTCGATGAGCAGCACGCGCGCAATCGCGCTCTCCGAGAAAAAAAAAAAAAAAAAAACAGGCGGCACGCCGCCGCCCGGCGCGCCCGACCGCCGCCCACACCAACGAAGTCATACTCGGTCCCAGCAGCCCGCGACCTGCGCACGGAGGCCCACGCACGGGTCACCGACAGGCGACTTCTAATAGTTGGGTGGGCAAAGTAACCGTAAAGGATTAGCGCCTGCTCACAACATTAGAGTACTGGTCAAAACTCGTGCTAGCACAGGTAATCCCATCCCCGCGAAAGTCGTACTCGTCAAGCAGCCCGACCTGCGCACGGGCACAAGCACGGGTCAAACAGGCTACTTTACAGGACAGTCTGGGGTACACATAAGTTTCACTATCAGGTTTGGGCGCACGACATCAAGAGCACGGCACAATGAACTTATGCCTACTACAGAGCACAGGTTAATCCAAATACAAGGAGACGTCTAGCAGACCCCGAACCTGCACCGAAGCACAGCTCAAAGGAGCGAACATCTACAGAACAGTTTGGGTGCAAAATACCGTAAGATCCAAACCCGTGCAGCTCATCAAAGCGCACGGGTCAAATCGTCGTGTTTGAACTGAAGAGCACAGTGAATGAATAGGAAATCCCATGCCCCGCGAAGTTCCATATGTCGCCAGCAAGCCGATCGACTTGCGCACCGGGTCAAAGAACAGTTGCGGGTAAAAATTCATCCACCTCCATAAGATTCTCGACCCGTGCGTCTCTGCATATAAAGCGTCACGGCTCAAAACTTGTGTCGACTTACAGATCACAGGTTAATCCATCCTGGGTCAAAAGTCGTAACCTCGTTCAGACAGCCCCAGCTGCACGACGCCCTCACAGCATAAGTAAAATATAGTCGCCAACGTCGACAAACATGTGTACTTATGTACTAATTAACCGTCCATTAATGAAATCGCAGCGCTGTGATTTAGAACTCGTAAACAAGACCAGACTGCGCTCAGCACAAGAGCGACAGGTCAAAAAACATCCTTTACAGAAACAATTAAATAGTAAGCCTCTTCAAGATAGAGGAAACGAGTAAACCACCACAAAATTGCTGCCTTTAAATATTCTAAAAACCAAGTTGTCTTCTGGTAGAGAATCAGTTAAAAATCAATCCAATTATCTACGAGTGGTGCCCGTTCAGCAGATCAAGACACTACGCCATAAAGCAAGAGCCTGTAACGGTGGATAACTTTTTGGAGTCTTGCCCCACCCATCACATGTTCAGATCTATACTTGGAAAAGTAACTGTACTTATGAAGGGTTGTATTCAGTATTGAAACAATAAGGAATAAAATGTAAGGTTTCTTTCAAAGATGATATTCCCAGCATGGACTATGTTCGTCCAGACAGGTGATACACAAATGTAGGGGTCTGTCTGATTTTGTGGGAGTTTCTGTTTGAACACGACACCACTGTGACTTGCTTCTGGGCATCATACGAGTGGTGTACAGAAATTTGTGTATTCCATCGTACGTCTTGAGACATTTTTTTCGGTTTATTTAATTTTTAATGACTGATTTTTTAAAATAATTATATAAATAAAGATATGTTGTTTTCATTTTATTGTTTATAGCAGTGTTCCATTCTAACTATCCCTCGTGGACTTAAAATGCTTTTCAATGTGTATTTTCTGGTTTCAATTAACAAATTCAATTAGACTTTTATTGACTAGTAAATTTGAACGAACATACACACCGTTTTATGACTCAGAAAAAAATTGAAGTAATATAGAAAGGTATGTTCTAATGTTCAATGAACGTTGATAGTAGCCGAGAAAAACGCCCTCCCCTTGAAAGTGAGGGGAGGTAAGATGTTGTTGCCAGTTTAAAATGTAATATGAAAATGAAAATAAAACTTTTATGCAGTTAAATGTTGTCAAAGGGCAAGAGCGCAATTGCATTGAAAGCTTGGTGAAGATTGAATGGACATTCAATAATAAAGAAGTGAACAAACATAGAAAAGCATATTAACTAGCAGCTTGATAACTCTGCAAATACAACAGCCATGTAAAACGATTTCATTTATGGATTAAATGCAGAACAACTGCATGCTAAATATCTTCCTAGGTCTGATTGGGAGGTCAGTGTCATGCTAGCGTCCTACTTCAATACGCAGGACATTGCTGTTTCAGCTTTTTCATTTTAACAAAATGTTCATTTACCTTCCATTTTGTAAATGAAAACAGTTTTAAAAATCTGAAGTTGGATGGCTGAAGCATACATATTGGCAATTTATTTATACGATAACGTTGATGCATTTCCTTCTCGACACGAAAAAAAAATATATTTTTTTTTTGATGCAGGTCGAAACCGCTCTTTAATAAGAGCACCTTGTTTCTAACAAATACGGTGGAAAATTATTTTAACAATTTTATAAAAACACTGAAGAAATGGACTGTCTTCACCGTTGCTGTTCGTGGGCATTTGCCAAGCCCTTCATTCGCTATTTGCAAAGAGATTGAACAAATGTCTTACGATAATTATTCAGAACTGGGTTTGAAAACAGCCCAACCCAACCTCATCTCATACATTCATCTTAAACATATTATTGTGCTGGATTTTACACACAATTGCTATTGTTTCGACACAACGGCTCTCCAACAATGCAAATGAAACAGTACGGGGACGGGTCGTAGGTCAGATAAGTACACCTTCACGCACGAGTAAGAAACTCTGGACATTTTACCTCCGTTTTCGACAAGTCAAAAAGATGATTATCTGCAGCAGTTGTTCACATTTACGTGCGAATATTCCCTCCGGGGGAACATTTTAAAAAAAACGCTACGGGGTTCTTTCTATTTGTTTTCTTCGCTGCGTATTTCTTTGTTTTTTTTATGTTTTTTTATGTTTTTTTGTTTTCTTTTTTTTTTTTTTTTTTTTTTTTTTTTTTTTTTTTTTATTTTTATTTTTTTTTTTTTGTTTCTTTTTTTTTTTTTTTTTTGTTTTTTTTTTTTTTTTTTTTTTTTTTTGTTGTTTTTTTTTGTTTTTTTTTTTTTTTCCCCCGCGCCTGGTTTGCGTCACAGCGTATTGAGGTGTGTTAGTGGACCACCACTATCCTAAAATAGCATTAAATAACACGTAATATATTTACAATTATAATTTCCTGCTGTGAAATCAAAAGCAAAACATGTCATTTCACACCAATCCAATTATTATTCCGGGTAGCCTTCTATTAAAATATTTCATATTCATGATGCAACTATATTCGTATTTAATTAAATAATAAATCAATGAAAATATCTCAGCATTACTGTTGGTTTTACATATAAAACGAACGCAATGCATTCGGACGTCAGTTTAAAGGGCAAGATATGCAGTTTATGTTAGAAAACAATACTAGTGAGACGATAACTGTCAAAATAATCTTCTTCTTCATTAGCATGTAAGCAATACCTGAATACATTAGATTGTTTCTATTCAGAGAGTGCACGTATATTTGCCGATAAAGTGTATCTGTTTGACATATGAAACTTGTTAAGTCGCAACAAAATACCTTGCATCGCATAAAAATCCAAAGCATTAGTGGGTGTCATCTTCATCTCTAGCAAGGGTTCAAACCGTGAAGTCGAAAGCTTTCGCGGTAAAATACGTGACATTTCTCGGGAATGTGTTAAAGATGATGTGTGTCATCCCTTGCCGGCCATTAAACGCCTTTCGGCATTTAATCGTAGAAGGTTTTATGCAGTAGTGTTAATTTTTTGCAGCGCCATCATTTCACACGGCGTTGTACGGAGATCCCTACTGGGCTGCCCGTAAATGCAAAAATCCCCAGACTCTATTTACGAACAAGGTTTTTTTAAAATATATTTTGTTTGCAGTGTCGAAAATAGTGTAGCGTCGCTTGAGCATAATGCGATATCCAAATGAACATTAAAGAAGCTTACAGGTTCCAAAGGAGAAAAAGTGACATTTAAACCTGATTTTCTCGAAGACAAAATTGTTTTCTGAATTTTTTTAATCTGCAATTTTACAATACATTCTCTGTAATGTATAATGCAATACTTTTGAATCCCACAGATAAAGTAACATGTAGGTGACAGACCAAATAAAAGTATCGCATTCCACGCGAAGGCTTACTTAAATTGCATATTAGCAAGTTGCAATTGGCTGTTCCTACAACGCCACGTGAAACGATGGCGCACCAAAGATTTCACACCCCTGCAGGCAGCCTTCTTCTATGCTTAAATGCCTCACGGCATTTGAATGGTCCGGAAGGGATGGCACATTAGCCTACCCACAGCGTTGTTAGCACAACCGCAAAAAAATATCATGTATCTTACCGAAGAAGCCTACGAAACATTCCCCGGGTCTTTGTGACACCCAGTAAGGCTTTGGAATTTTATACGCCGAAAGGTATTTTGTTGAGACTTCACAAGTTACAAATGTTAAACAGAAACGTTTCATCGGCAAATTTACCTGTACTCTCTGAAAAGAAACGATCTACTTCAAGGTAAATTGCTGACTCGCAAACTAATGAAGAAGAAGATTAAAATGAACCGTAGTAGTGTCATTAGAATAGTTTTCTAACATACAATGCAAATATTTCCCTTTAAAGTGACTTTAGAATGCATTGCGTCCATTTCATATTTAAAACTCGCGATCTCTTGATAGTATTACGCGTCTTTATTGCCCCATTCATTCAATTAATTGATTGATAGTTTAGTTATGCCGGAAACGTCAACTACCAGGGTAATTAGTCCCGTAAATGTAATGCATGCTTTTGCTCGGGAGGTGGTGATGATCTTTCCCACACTGTATGGCGAGATCCGGCACCGACCAACTATCGGTTAGCGGGGTTTTCTCCCATCAGGTATCTTCCACCAGCGGGGTACCGCCCCAGCTCAGACAAACTCTTGGCTGAGAGCGTAGGCTTCTGCGGCCGGAGTCAGTATTTACTTGGCTGTAAAGGCAAGGCAGGCACCTTCACCATGACGCGGCGTCACTCGGACAGCATAGTAAACAAACTCTTGGCTCCCGACCGGTCATGTGTGGTAGTATAGTGTGTGTTTAAGTAAGAGGTGAGGATAGGACAAGGAAGGGGAAGATTAGATCGCGCGCGGTCCGTGGCCCGTTTGCCACGGTACTACTCCAGCATTCGCCTGATGTTGATCGGAGGAACCACGGGTAACTACCGATGAGAGCAGCCGGCCGCGGGAATTCTCCTCCAGACAGCGACTGAATCCGACGCTTCCACTCAATCTCTTCCATCCTGTTGCACCGCAGGGACGGCAGCCGCGTGAGCAGCGCGCGCGCGTTCCTGCGGCCGGCGCGCGCGCGGCCCAACCTGCACGTGCTGCTGAACGCGACGGCGACGCGCGTGCTGCTGGACCCGGCCACGCGCCAGGTGCGCGGCGTGGAGTTTATCCGCGCGGGCGGCCAGCCGGGCAGCGTGCGCGTCGCCAGGGAGGTGGTGCTGTCCGGCGGCGCCGTGAACTCGCCGCAGCTGCTGCTGCTCTCCGGTAAGGCTCTCCGCCCGCCCGACCGTGTGAAGTGAGAGGGGTTTCGCGGGGCGGGGCGTTCCAATGCTCACGCAGCCGTATTCGGTAATTGACTTCGCGAAATAAAGAAACCCGTGAGATATTTTGCAAAGCATGATTATCGCATGCAACTTCTCTAGTCTAGTTCTGCTTCAACCCGCGAACTCTCTACTTCCTCTGATCTTTTCACATTTTTATACCTCTCGGGTTCTCGTGTCTCTCAAACTCCTCCAATCTTCAATAATACGATGTTTTTTAAATCTCCAGACCCTGGAATCTAGTAAATCTTTAAAAGTATGAATTTGTACTCTGCAATCCTTTCAGTTATTTTCTTTCTTAGAATACTTCTAAGTTTTTGATTCCTTCCGTTGTAAAATATTTAAAGATTCTTAACCTACCCTGAATCTTTAATAGTTTTACATTGTTTGTTATGGTAATGTAGGTATTTGTACTATATTATTTATATAATATAGTATATATACATTAGTTATTCTTCACAATTTTATTTCACTTTGAGAGTTTATCTTCAAACGCTTTTTTTTCGTTGTCTTGTCAAAACAAACGAGACGGTACTATAGTTACTAACTATTTTCGCCAAATAATTTCATATCTTAAAAACCAATTTCTTAAAAATATTAATAGGACGAGTGTCATTATATTATTTTATTCCACAAAATTTAATTTAATAATTCACCTAAACGTGGTTTTGCTGTACAGAATCCATTGGTAAACAGTGCTTATACGAAATAATGTTAGTCGACAACCAAAGTAATGGAAGGATTGTTGCGTTATGTAGATATAACAGTCCAGTGTAGTGAAGTGCTTAACGCGCCTGTTCTCCTTCCGTTAGGCCAAAGTTAAAGAAGGATTGGCCCGTTTGTTGCGTTATATTGATATAACAGCCCAGTGCAGTGAAGTGCTTAACGCGCCTGTCCTCCTTCCGTAAGGCATCGGGCCGGCGGAGCACCTGCGGGCGGTGGGCGTGCCGGTGGTGCAGGACCGAAGAGGCGTCGGCCGCAATCTGCACAACCACGTGGCCTTCTTCGTGCCCTTCAACATGCGCCAGGAGAACGACACCTTCGACCTGGACTGGGCGTCCGCCATGCAGTACATGCTCAACCGCACCGGCCCCATGGCCAGCACGGGCCTCTCGCAGGTGCGTAGCGTGTAGGCGCCGTCTTCAAAATGACCACGCGGATTGACCAGGAATCAGTCCTGCCAACTCCGAAAATATATGCAGTTCATTCCTCTTCAAAATCGTTCAGATCTTACATTAACAGTAGATATTTAACAGTTAAAATTAATAAATATTAAACAAATAATACATATTTTTGTAGCTTTCTAAATAGATGAAATATTCAAACAGGTTATCTGGGTTCGTAGGCTTCCGCGCCCGGAGGCAATGCATTCTTGGGTATCCGGGATGAGCCGCGTCTCGGTCAATGTTACTGACGCTTCGACCATCTTGCTGTGGCCTTCTTCAGAGCTATACGAGCAGTATAGTCATTCCGAATAGCCAATAATGCAAAAACAGGTTATCTGACTATTTCAGGGCGGTATAATGGAACGTTTGCCGTTCATATCATTTGATAATGCACGTATTATGTCACATGAAACAACTGATTCGTTTAAACTTAACAAAATACTTGATAAGTGTTGACCTTAAAAATATCTTAATTCCTATCCGCAAACTGCTGATATTTTTTATTGTAAACTTTATGTTCCCTGAAGTACATTCATGGTGTATATCTCATCATATTTTCCGCATTATCCATTATAACGTTTTTTACCTGAAATCTCTTAGCCCTCCTTTGTATCAGTCTTGTATCATAAATTTATTCTATAATTTTATCTGAATTATATTTTTAAACTGTCGTGTTCGTACTGCTAGCAGAGTATATAATCTGGATGATATGATTCGATTGAAAAATCAATATTTTTAAGAATTAATTAAATGGAAATAGAATTCCTAGGGCTTCTATATTTTTCGTGTAAAAAGCGTTCTCGAGAAACCTTAATTATATTTCGATTATACCTTTACCAACGCTTTTAACCTAGTACTTAAAACAGTGATTGGAGTGCACAGATTAAAACACACATTAATACACAGACACATTCCCAAAACGTTTCGTACGTGTGTTTGTGCATAACATTGCGTGTTGTCATTTCTTGGAAAGCTATGTTTGCTCTTTGTTCCTGGAAAATAAAAGATACATTTTCCTCTTTTATTTCACATCTAAAGCTTTAAACGTCCGACACTATGAATTCTACAGAAGGATAAAATATTTCCAGAGAATCCACAAACCAAACAAACAATACGGAAATGAGAAATTGTTACAGGAGTAAATGGTCTCTCGTCAACGGGAGAAGCAAAATGTATCAGACGCAGTGCTTTCTACGTAATATTACCCACCCCTCCAAGCATATTAATAAAAAAATATATATCAGTGAGAACAGAAATTTTATTTTCTTATTACAGAATATTCAATGGCATAAATAGTTATACTAATTTATTCAGTCTATATCATGTCTTTGTTTTGTTACAATGATATGCAATATCAGACTGTACTGTGTATATATCTAACGTAAAATCCAATGTTGAATCATAAAGTAAAATACTGAACATTTACCAAAAATCTTGCGTTTATGGGACAATAATAAATCAAATTATCAGAGAAAGAGTACTTCTCTTCCCCAATTGGAAATAAATAAAATAGGAGGATATATCATCACCGAATACTGTTCAAATCTCACTAGTGCGATAACAATTTGCATTATAATAGATATTGACTCTGCCGCCACACAAGAGGTTGGATACGGTTTCAAATGTTTTACAGAGGACACGAAATGTTTCGCTGACTGCAGGTTATGCCTCGTAGAAATTACCAACCTGACAAAGCAAGATATTACAAACCTTCAATAGGTTTATTACCTTTCGAAATCCTTAACGCGTTGGATCGAAACACATTTTGTTATACTTGAACAAATTCAATAACTCAACAGATTTCTTATACTGCCTCACTTATGTACGTGGAATACGCCGTACGTATGTACGTGGAATTGACCAAATTGCCGACGATATCGGAAAGAAAGTTTAATTTATTTGTTTAAGAAGTGGAAGAAAACCTATTTACACTTTTTCTCTTAGATTTTTCTTGTGACTTGATAAATATGTAAAAATAAATAATTTAACGGTGTGTTTTTTTTATCGACTTACGAGTGTACAAGTTAAAAACGAAGTTCTCTGGCCCTAGGGTTCATGATTGTAATGATGAAAAGTTGCATTTCTGAAAACAGCTGAATACAATGAAATGAAAGATGAGATGATAATTGATAGGAGGAGATAGAAGGCAGAGAGTGACCGAAAAAGCCCCCCAACCACGCCCCTCTGGTGGTTCCGCAGGTGACGGCCATCCTCAACTCCCGCTTCGCCGACCCGCGGGGCGACCACCCGGACCTGCAGTTCTTCTTCGCGGGCTACCTGGCCAACTGCGCGCGCACGGGCGAGGTGCGCGAGGTGCGCGACGCCGCGTCGCCCGACGCGCGCCGTTCGGTGCTGGTGGTGCCGGTGGTGCTGCACCCGCGCAGCCGCGGCCGCCTCGAGCTCGCCTCCGCCGACCCGCTCGCGCCGCCGCTCATCTTCGCCAACTACCTCCACGACGACCAGGACGCCCGCACGCTCGTCGAGGGCGTCAAGATCGCCCTGCGCCTCGGGGAGACCAAGTGAGTGGCCAAGGTGGGCGGGGCTGCGCGCCTTGGGGCGACGCCGGGGCTTAAGCGGTCCGGATACGGGCACCGGGGGCAGATCCAGACAAGTAGCTACGTGGCTATCCTGAAGACGTCGCTTTTATATGGATATGTACCAACGTTTATATGCATAGGTACCAACGGTTCCAACTCCATTTTGCGACCTTCTTCAGGGCAACATGTCATTCCAAATTCGTCTTCAAAGACAGGCGATGTATCAAAGCAGGAACTAAGATATATGTAAATAGCCTGGTTTCAGAATTGAGTTGAAGAAAACGTCAAAAAAAGAAGACTCGAGAGCGCAGGTGTCAGATTCGGGGGGCAATTTTCGTCCTCGGAAACACAAACTGCAGTTTTCTTTCGGTCGCATGCGACAATCACAGCACCATTTAGATAAATTCTGACAGTATTTCCTCCCAAAACTAACATATTTACAAACTTATTTTCTCACATATCTCTGGACGACGACCAGGACGCGTGCACGCTCGTCGAGAGCGTCTCGGCGAGACCAAGTGAGTGGACAAGTGGGCGCGCCCTGCTCTCATTGGTGCGATGACAGGCCTAAGCGATCCGGATACGGGAGCAGAGGGCGGATCCAGACAAGTAGCTACTTGGCCGGTTTTTAGACACAGGTACCAAGGTTTCGGACGCCATTTGGCGACCTTCCTCAGGGCAAAATGCTATTCCAAATTCGCTTTCAAATGCAGACGATGTATCAAAGCAGGAAGTAAGATAGTTCAAGGAAACGTCAATAGAAAACTCGAAGCACATCTATCAGATTCGGCGTCGGGGGTGGGGGTTCGGACTCGGAAACACAAACTGCAGTTTTTCTATCGGCCCATGCGATAATCACAGAACAGTTTCACGTTTCGTTTAGACACATGCTGACGATCTTTCCTATCTAAATCTAC